CTGGAGCAGGCTCCCAGGTAGCTTGGCCCCGTGCTAAGGCGTTAAGCACTCTAACACTGGGTGGAAGCAGATGAGCTGGGACAGAGAGGCTGTCAGAGGACTGGGGTCCCTCTTGTAATGGCAAGAGGCTAAGACAGGGAGGACAGCTCTGGGGCCAACCTGGACGTCACATTATTACTGATGTCAGCGGCCCCCGTTTGAGAAGAGAACATCAAGGGAAGGAAGGGATAAGGCAGGGCCCATCCTGCCAGCCTCCCAGCCTGGCCTTGCAGGCAGCAGGAGCCACTCCAGGAGCTGCTGAGAAGCCCTGGGAGGGGGAGGGAGGGGCCCGTGCTGGTGTGTGTAGATATTAGGCACATGCACGTGAGCCAGGTGGGTGCATCTGGGCTGCTAAGAGTGGAGCAGACGTGGGCACATGACTTGTGTGAGGGGGGCTGTCCCCGAGTGCCATGTGTGTGTGCATGCATGCGTGCGTGTGGAGCAAGTCAGTGGGCTCGTGTCTCCTGGGTGTGGAGCCTGGCTAGTGAGTGAGGGCCCTGAGGTCCTGCGTGGCTTCCCTCAGCACCAGCAGGATTGCAGAGAGGGGCAGGGGCAGGCTGGCCTGCTCGGAGAAGAGGTGGGGAATGAGGAGCCCGCCCACCCCGCCCACCGTGCTGGCTGCCCTCCCCCTCCGACGTGGCAGCCCTGAAGGCCTACACTGGGAGAGAGGCTCAGAGATTGCAGAAATCATGTTTTCCTGACTCATGCCTTGGGCCGAGTGCACATTCTTGGCTCTTGGACAGCAAGGCAGAGAGCTGACTGCAGGGAGAGGGCCCAGGGCTGAGCCTGCCTGGCGTGACAGCCTTTCTGGGCTGTGTTACTCCGTGTCAGAGGAAAGGGAGATTAAACTTCTTTCCAATGAACGTCCTATAACTGCAAGTGAGACCCTGTGAGGATGCCTAGCATAGACGTCACTCCTCTTTCCTCCGTCCCTTCCCGTGTCCGTGGCACCAACAGACCTGATCCAGTCCTAGTTCTGACTCCGACTTGCTGTGTGCTCTTGAATCGTCTGCCCTCCCCCCCTCATCCTCAGTTTCTCCAGGTATAGGATTATACATGGTCATGTATGTGCTGGGCACATAAATACCATGCCAGTGTTTGTCCTAGGATTCTGTGGGGTGAGGACGGAGTGAATCTAGCCACTGAGGCCAGAGAAAGCTGTTGGTGCAGTACCTGGCAGAACTGGGCCTACCTGCCTCACTGGGTTCCTTAGAGGGCCAGGGTCTAGGGCCCAGGCTCTGACCCAGCTCCCCCTCTGACTTGCGATGTGACCTTGGGCCTAGCCCTCTCTGGGCCTCCATTTTTCCTTCCTGTGGAGTGTGGATGCAGTTGGACTTCCAGGTTTTCTGCTTTCTGATGTCCTGGGAATTTCTAGCCGCACGGTGCAGGGTGGCAGGAACAGCTCCTGCAGGGGCTGTGGGAACCCAGACAGGCCATGCTGGGAGTGTCTCTGCATGGAGCTCCTTGCCTCTCCAAAATGAGTGCTTTCTTCAGAAAGTGCGGCCTGGGCTGTGGGGGAAGGGACAGAGTCAGCCTCTGGGGCTGGGCTCTGAGCTAAGAGTACTGTGGCAAAGGCTCTTGACATTTTTAACAGATCGTGGGCATTTAAAGGAGCCCCTACCTTTCTTTGCACAGGGAGGCCACACTTGGGGCACAGAGACTCAGGCACCCACTTCCCAGCACTGGAGCACCGACCACGTGTACCAAATGCTTCTTCTGTGCCTGTCCTGTGCTGGGGACTTAAGACTGAGAAGAAGGCTCTGCCCTTTCAAAGTCTCCAGTGACATTTGCTGACAATACAGGGTGGTAACACGGAGATAACACAGCACGATACTACAGAGGGGACCTCTGACCCAGGGCGAGCTATGGAGGGGTGTGAAGAGGCCCTGCGCTAGGCCCCAGCTTCTCTGTCTGCAAATGGAGAGTAGTGGTCCTTTCTAGCCTGACCTCCTAAGATTCTGGGTTTATCTAACAGTTTAGGCCTCAGTTTATCCCTCTGCAAAAATCACTCTTGGCTCACTCCTCAAGTACTGGGAAAACCTAAGCGAGTTAAGAGATAGCATGGTGGTTGGGGGTAGGTCTCCCACATGGTCGACTACAGTTCAAGCCCCACACCTGGTGACTTGCTTTCTTGCTTTCTCTCTCTCTGATGACTATAGCAAGTTAAATAATAATAAATTAAATAATTATTTTAGGGGCCAGCAGTTGGCATAATGGCTATGTCGCTGGACTCTCATGTAGTCGACCACGGTTTGAGTTCCAGACCCGGTGGCTTAAACTCACGCTGGGCGCATGTGCATATGTGACCAAGATCCTGAGAGGAAAATGGAGAAGGGATTGTGGTGTGGCCATCCTCCCTGGGGGTGATTTCTTGCTTTCTATATCTCTGTCTCTCTCTGTCTTTCTGGAGAGCCCACGTGCCCCATAGCAAAAACTTCTCAAAAAAAATTATTTTAAGAAGAACATGAAGGAAATAAAGTCTATGTGATGTGATATCTAAACCTGCCGGAACCAGGGCAGACTCTCTGCATTCTGCCGGCTTTGATGGCCCTCTTTATTTCTGCCTTAGCCCTTAGCTCACTCAGTGGCCAAGAGAGTGGGTGGCAGACAGTGGGGTCTAGGGCCCAGGGGATATCTTCGACTAGCAAGAACTGATCCTTAAAAGCAGTCCACAGCTGAGGTGGGAGGAGGCACACGAGAACCAGGACAGCACCCCAAAGAGATGCTTACCACTCCAAGGTAGAAGGTTCTGTGAATGGACCAACCTGCCTAAAAAGAATACTGAGCCAATCTGAAGGTAAGCTTCTAGTTCTTGGGTGCTTGCCATCTTGGGGTACCCAAGGGGGGGCTTCTACGTGGGGCTGCAGACAGGGCTCTATGGCCTCAGAGATATTCTTATTTTCTTTTCTTTTTTTTTTTTTGAGAGGTTTTTGCTATAGG